GGGAAAAAGGTCTAGAAATTGATATGACTAAAATGATTAAGCAATTATTGAGGACAATCTAAGGTTTACCAAAGATTGGTTGCTCAAGGACAGTTGGAAGTATAGTATTAATTCTGGAAGGACCATATTGACATAATCTGTAAGGAGGCAACTCTTGTTCAGAAGTGATAGTCAAAATGGTATATGGAAATGCTTCAAAGTTAGAAAGTATTCAATCTATATGATTAGGAAACTTAATGCAAGAAGGATGTTTCCAAGGAGTTGATCTCCTTTGGAATACTCTGTAATGATTGTTTCCAAGTCTTTGTGAATTTGTGCATAATCATTACAAGAGGATCAATGCATATAAGTTTAGAATCTAACAGATTTCAGTAAATGGCATGAATTTGGAATTCTTGCATTTGCAGTAAGATTTGGGACTGTGAAATGAGAATCATTGGATTTATGTTCAATTGATCTATTTCACAAAGTAAAGATCATAGACAAACATAGTATGCATACTTGGTGTGTGGCATGACTAGTGTTTAGAAAAACATAGTGTACATGCTTGGAGCATGGGACAACTATTGTTTTAATTCAAGAATAAAGTTGATAGCTGAAACAGTATACAATGAATAATGTGCAATCATATGGTGATAAATAAAAGGTGTTTTATTTATATTCATAAGTTCTAAGACCATATTAGATTCGATTATTATTGTGTTTCACTTTGCATGTTTTGACATCCAGAATAACTAGGTCATTGTTTTGATTGACTAAGTTATTCAAACCATCCACAGTCGGTCATATGTTGGAAGTAGATATGAATCAAGACTGTCATGGGTTGGGTTTATAGAGGTCTAAGATGTTGGACAAGGTGGTGCTACAACACTCATGAGTGCTCATAAGTTCTAAGTATTGGATTCAACCCGCGCTCATTGGAATCACTTCAAGGATTTTATCACGAGTGATCATGAGATGATAATATCTTATATTCTTCAAACCTAGAGATATGAGTTGTTACTATGAGTTGGTTATACATTGATTGCACGAAAACGCATTGGTAACTCGATGTTATAAACATGCCTTTGTGTATGATTCAACAAGTAGTAGAACAAGCCATATGAGTCAAAGTTTATCCATTCCTTTTACCTTCGGGATAAAAGAGATATATGTGGGCCCCTCGATGATTTGATGATGACAAATGGAAGTGCTCGGCCGGACCAAGACTGATTTGATTTGTTCAATTAGTCAGTCGTCATAAATCGGAAATCGGGAAACAACAAATGGACAGAGAGAATGATTATAATCCATGTCTCAGTCCATATGATATCTAGAATGGAGGAATATATGATCCCTTATCTAATACACGTGTCATTGATTTGTTCAAAGTTCGACAGCGGCTTTAAGAGCTACGATTGCTAGTCGGGTTATGAAGTCGTACTTGCAATAATAGTTTTAGACTTATCCAAGTGGGAGACTGTTGGATTAGATGTCTAAGCCTATAACTATTAATATATTATAAGTTATAATATATTAATATGAAATCATATGTTTTAATTAGTATTGATCAAGAATTAATTTGGAATTAATTTAGTGATCAAAAGAGAGTAATTAAATCTATGGGGACTAATTATGACAAGTGGTTATATTTATATGTGTTGGCCTTATGACCCATGTCGGACCAAGTTTATGTATGGATACATAAAGAGTTGGGCCACATGAACCATGGATCATAAAACCCATGGGTATGGATTATGGGTTATACCCATGACCCTTGGAATCCTAAATATAAATAGGTTACTCCATAGCCAAAATCGCCACTTCTTTTCTTAGAGAAATATGGAGGTGTTTTGGTGCATGAAATTCTCTCTCAAGAGCCACCTTTTTCCTAGGTGTGTTGTGATTCCATTTGAGGCATTTCATACTATTGGTGCTAAGCTCTTAAGGCCAAATACATCAAGACTTCAAGCCACATAAAAGGTATGTTTCCCTAACTAGTATATTATATGGTTTATGTCAAATGCATGCTATTTATAGGTTTAATGCCTTGGAAACCATTTGCATGTATAATTGGTGAAAACATAGATCCAACGTATTTAGGCTTGTATGTGCACCATAGGATGTTGTATTATACCAAAACCCAATACTTTGGGGGTAACTGACTAAGCTTTCTGGCTTACAGTTTAGTTTATTGTTTCAGGTACTTTAGGAGATCGTGGCAAGGCGAAGGCATGATCGTACCACTCCTCATGTTTTATGATTCATGTGATATGGTTCTGGGGGATACTCTGATGTTTAAACTATTTTGAAAATAAGATGTATGAACTTAATCGTTTTTGAATGAAACAAAATGTTTTCAATTGGCTCAAATTTTTGGTCGTTACAATGCACATGTTTGATTGGTAGTTGAGGGTATTCCATCCCGAGGATGGTTAGACCCTAGTATGTTGTCTCTATAGACTATTTTATGATTATTTGATATAGGTGCACATGTTTGATTGGTAGTGAGGGTATTCCATCCCAAGGATGATTGGACCCATTTTGTGTTGCCATTCCAACCCGATGGTTGATTGGACCCATAATGTGTTGGCATTCCAACCTGATGGTTGAGGGCCTAGGGGATTCCAACCCGGTGATTGATTGGACCTATAGTGTGTTGGCATTCCAACCCGATGGTTGAGGGTCTGGGGTATTCCAACCCGATGGTTGATTGTGCTCATAGTATGTTGTTTGTTATTATATATGTGTATTGTTGTGTATGAGTATTTTGGGGGTAAGTCACTAAGCTTTCGAGTTTACATTTATGGATTATTGTTTCAGGTACTTCGGATGACCGCAGGAAGGCGAATGCGTGATCGTACACTTTATCGTTCTATGATTGTGATTTCTGGAAAAACTCTGATATTGATTTATTTTGAAAAAAACAATGTGAACATTACTGATTTTGGTTGATTTTGCAAACCATTTATGAACTTGTGTTGATATTGAAAAGTTTAAATTTTTATGAATTTTTATGGATGTTATAAACTCACCTTTTTTTTGTATAAAAAGAGAAGAAAAGTTTATAAAATTCTTACAACTCTTTAAAAGATATAAACTTGAACTTTTAGTAAAAAAAAAAAAAAAAAAAAAAAAAAAAAAAAAAAAAAAAAAAGTCTTTCTAGTCCAAAATAATATAGATGACCTATTGATTTATAACATATGAAATAATTTGTTACTTATTATTGTAAAATAATTATTTCCATAAAATAGATATTTTCCCAATTCATTATAAAAATTTATGAATATTTATTAAAATCAATTTTTAATAAATAATAAATTGTATCAAGTTTGTCGATATGACCCTTAGTATTATATGTTAAGTAGTAATATCATTATAATATGACTTTTAAGCATATTAGATCTTTCAAAAAATAGTGACACAGTTAGAAGACCAGTAATTAAGGGTGAGCATATTAACCGAAAAACCGAAGTATAATCAAATTAACCAATATAACTGAGCTATTAAAACCGAACCATTATTGAAAACGATGGTTTGGTTTTTGATTTTCATTAACCGATTACTAATGGTTCGATTTCGATTTTTCTATGAAACCTACCAATATATAATCGAACCGAAACAATTAAATTATAGAGATTTAAAAAGATATTTAATATATTGTGTAATTGGTAATTATGTTAACTAGGTTAATTATATAAAGAAATAAATGAATTGAAGGCTTTGATTCTTTGATGAGATACGCAATAAAGGAATTGTATTGAATACGACAACAAACATTATCACATTCTTCTTCATTACCCGGTATCACACAACAACATTAAACGGAAGATACTATCGGATACAACATTGAGCTGAAGACGTGTTCTCAAACCTCAATATAAATGTGGAATTTTTTTCTTGCAAGTACGAGTACGTATTTATTTGATTGTTTTCATTTAAAGTAAAGTATTTTAAATTGTGTATATTTTATTCTTTTGTCTTGCAACAATGAATTTGATAATGATGAGTTTTTATGTTTTAATGCGATATAAATATTGTATATATTGTTCGTAATTACTTTATACGGTTGGATTTGAATTTCGGTCCCCTAATACTAAAACCCTTGTATTACAACTCCTTACAGTTTCGTTATAGTTTGTATTGATTAATTGTATATATTAATTATTAATCTTTATAAAATTATAGTGAAGATCGTGCACATCATAAGTCTAGGAAGGGGTTCATTATTTTCTATTTTTATTTTTAATTTTGAACATCATGTTTAATCAATATTAACTGTTAACCAAAACCATTATTAACTTAATATAATAATTATGATTCGGTTTTAATCAATAACCAAACCAAACCGTGATATACACACTCCTACCAATAACATTCTACAAACATAAATGTTTTTTTTTTTTTTTTAAAGTGTCATATTTATGAAAGTCGGTTATTTATTATTATCCATTTTTTTTAAACATTTCTTAAATTTATCTACATCTAAAATGGTAAAACGGGAAGGGTCTCTATCAACTTTTTTCGAATCAGCTCTTTTATGTAGGTGTACTCTTTCCTCAAAAAGGTCTATTTTTACCTGGACTTGTTACATTATTTGAAAAAAAAAAATCGTACATATTTTATGAAAGATAAAATAAAAAATCGTTGAAAATATAATATTTTTATTAAAGGATAATAAGAAAACCCTGGAAAATCCCTGTCAAAAATAAATTTATAATAGTCGAACATGAATCGGTAGAAAAATCGGATCAATCTAAAATCTAATACATTCTAAAATTCATAATCTATATAATTCAACATTTTTTAGTTTATTTTTTGGTTTGTAAAATCCATGGATCGATATAAAAGTTTGGATCAACCTATAACGTTTTATCAAATTATGTCATGTAATAAAGATTTTTTTTTTTTTTTTGTGTAAAACCAACTTATACAGTACATATTTACATAGAATTTCATAATAATAGTTTTAAAATGAATGTCAAAAATACAAAATAATATTTGTCAAACCTTATCGAGTGCATTTTCTCAAAAATACCATTTGAGTAGCTGGAGATGGTTCAACATAATAACTACTAATAAATTATCATGTCTCATAAATTTTCCAATCTGTAAAATATGCAATAAAATTAAATCTAAAAATATAACCAAATTGACAGCATAAAAGCGACCCAAAACAAATTCTGACCAACTTCATGTTAAAGAAGCCCACCAACTGGCTACAAATAACAAAATCTTCAACAAACAAAACCTTTTCGGCTAAATACGGAATTACAACCAACATTACTTAATTTAAGAAATTCCTTTTAAAATCGATTACATTAAATCAAAATCCAAATAAAAGTTAATACAACATCATTATAGAATAATAATAATAATAATAATAATAATAATAAACCCTGACACAAACACAGGAAATTGAGAAGTTTTTGCAAGAAGCTTTTTTAACCTCTTATTAAATCAAAAGTACCCAGGTGTAATTAAATAAAACTTTAGGGGTCGATCCTGCCAACTCTAAGAAAGTTCTTCAAGAGGGTACCTGTCTAGGCAATCAAGCCATGGGTTATTGCTTGTAGGCTTCTTTATACGACGAACAGCTTTCCAAACTGCACTGTTGCACTTAAAACCCGACCCGAATGACAGTTGCCAAACCCGGTCGCCCCGTTTCACTCTTCCTTTTGCTTCAAGGTACGCTAGCTCATACCAGATGCTGCTGCTTGATGTGTTCCCAAAACGGTGGAGGGTGGCGCGTGAGGGCTCCACGTTGGCGTTGCTCAGCCCAAGGTTACGTTGGAGCTCGTTCACCACCGTTTTGCTAGCGGCGTGAACGCAGAAGTGCTCGAATGCGAGCTTGTAGTCGGGGATGTAGGGCTTGGTGCCGGAGGAGGTAGGCGGTGACTTCTGTGATCCGTCGAGAGTGACGGATGTAGCGGTGGTTGTACCTTTTGGTTTTGTGCCGGAGAGGTATCTCTTCACGAGAGTTGCGAAGAAAAGGAGTTGCTCCGATAACGGCAACACTAACGGACCCAAGGTGGTGATGTTTGTTTTGAGGGCGTCGCCGCCTATCTCCACCAGATCTTTGCTGATCTTTAGCCCTTTGAACCTTTGTTCGTCTTCCTCTTGATACACACTCCTGTAATTAACGATGTGTAAATAAATTTGATTTGAAGATGTTAACTTTTGAAAAAAATGGAGAAATGGGTACCTGAAATATCGATCATCAGCTCCTTTATGGGTACGAACGATGTGCTCAAGTCTATACTTGGCACGGCGGTAGTCACGGCTGCGGTTGGAAAGTAGAAGGGCGGAGCAACCCATTCTGATGTAACAGTTGGGGATTAGCATAGACCGATCTTTTCCAGGATACCAGTTGTATCCCACCATCTCCGTGCTCACAACCACCGCGACATTGTTCGGGTTCGCCTGAAGCATATCACGCGCCAAATCCACGGCGATAATTCCGGCACTACATCCCATCCCGCCTAAATTGAAACTCAAAATGTTTCCCCTCATTTTATAGTGATTGATGATCATGGCAGACAACGACGGCGTTGGATTAAAGATGCTGCAGTTTACAACCAGTACTCCGACGTCCTTCGGACGGATACGTGTCTTCTTAAAGAGCTCGTCCAGTGCTCCGAAGATCACCAACGATGCCTCCGCCCTACCTTCTTTCATGGTGGAGATGTTATCCGGCGACATTATCGCTCTCGGAACGTAGGTTTCATCGCCGATACCCGACGATTCGAGAATTTTCTTCTGGAATTCGAGACTAGCTTCATCGAATTTCCCAGATCTTCTTGCTAAATCAATGAATTCCTCCTTCGTCACCTGCAAATTTTCAATAAAAACATTCATACGATTCATACATAACAAAAATACTAACAAATCTAGCTCAACTAACCTTCAATTCGTCGGAAGGTTTGAAACAAGCGAAATCAATGAGATAGATAGATCTAGGTCGAGACATGAAGTAAACCGAGAGAGTGAAGACGAAGACAGCGAAAAAAGCAAGAACAGTAGCCAAATCATACCCAGCGGTGCTGTCCCAGAGCTTCCGCCATAGCTCCTCCCTACTGAGACTCCCGATCTCAGCGCTAAACACGAGAACAAGCACCGGAACAGTTGCCAAGTAAATGGCATGGTTAATTAGGTAATGATAACCAAGCTTGACATACTTGAGATTCACAGACTGGACAAAATCCGGCAACCGACGACGGACCCTGACAGAGAAAGTAATGGAGCCGGCATCAGGACCAGACGACTCTACTCCACGATTAACTATCTCTGTTGACAGGAGATCTTGTTCTCCGGTTGGAGGCATGGTGGGAACTGGGAAGAAGATGAAAAGTGGGAATGGGTATGAACTATGGAGAGGGTGAGTGTGTGTGAATTTAAGGGGGTTGGGAGAGTAAATGAAGGACAACGAACCAAAGAGAGTGTAGTTGGATGTGCATTAAATTGGATGGGAATGGGGTTTTGGGAAAGTTGTTTGGAGACGAAACTCATGACTCTGGTTAGTTGCATGCGTATGCATGTACAACTGCTCAAACTCTAACAGCAAAGCTTGCGTCTTCCATGGCTGATGGCTCCCACACCCCATGGGAATAGTTACGCTTCTAATTATCCTTCTATACATACAACACATTTTTTTTTCTTCAAAATTTTACGTATATGTATTTCCATACGTTTCTCATCAAATTTTTACATATGTATTTCTATACGTTTCCAAACATTTTCTTACAATACGATTAACGATATGCTAACCACCTAACTCCTAGTATCAACTATCAAGGAATAGATTAGGTCCTAGTTATGTATTGCATTTTGTTGTACTTTCTTGACTTTCTCTCTTTACTACTTTTATTAAATCCACAACCGGCCTCGGAGGGTGCGGGATAATCGACCGTATAGGATCTATATTGTTAAAGACATGGTTATATATATATATATATATATATATATATATATATATATATATATATATATATATATATATATATATATATATATATATATATATATAACATAATGAAAAAAAATTGACCTCCAAAACAATTCGATCTTATATAGCTGTCCACTTTGTTCATCCTTCAACGCCCCCTACAGACCCTAAGGGGCCCAAAATTATTTTCTATCACAAACTTGTCGCTAATTTATCACAAATTTGTTGCTAATACATCATCAATTGTTCGCCAATCCATTAGAATCAGGTGGCGTCTATTACGGTTTTGCCGTTGATTATTTGTAAATGAATAGTTTATCTATTTTTAATCCTACTCAATAATATAATAATCGATGGCCTATTAGGTGTTGAATTTTATCTTACTATTAATGAATTTTTTCTTAGGTATTAAAAAATATAACGATCAATCTTAATTTTTTAGATAGAAACTTCAAAATCAATTGACCAACCAAATTTAAGTAACATGTAACCTAAGCAAAAGTATGTAGTCGTATACTGCTCAATAACACTATATGGTATTGAGCCCTAAAAGGCTTAAAGGAAGCCTACAAGGCTTAAACGCTTCCCGATCAACGATGTCTTCTTCATATGATCCTACTCATACCAAACTCATAAAATCCAATTTTTTCCCCAATGATCCCAACTTCATTCGACCTTAATCGAATACAATCTTCTTAGCCACAACGATATTAGTTCTAAACCTGCAAATTAAAACAATCCAAGACCCAAATAACAACACTATACTCATTGAAAGCCCATATTATGTCATTATCTCACGAAACTTGGAATTGTCTTTCCACTCTCATGGCCAAGAAATATCACTCTCATATCATGCACTTAAAGGAGAAACTCCATGACAACCCATGAGGTATGTTCGATTACATAATACATGAAAGATGTAACGGCTATGTCCAATACACTTGCTCTGGCTATATCTTTTGTTGCAGAATGAGACCTAATTATTTGCACGCTTAAAGGTGTTGTTGAAGAATTCAATTTTGTTGTTGCAATTATTTGGGTTTGTGATAAATGTCATTTTATGCATCTTTTAGGGTAGTTTTAATTAGCATTTAGCATTATAATTTGTATATTTTCATGTCATAAGTTTCAATAATGTTCAACTCATGTATTTTGTTAGAATTCCTGTCCTGTTAGCATTTTTGTGTTATTTTCAGATAATTCGAGTGGAGTTGTACTTTGGGAGCAGCTGGATGCAATTTTGGAGCCTAAATGGAGTTAGAACTAAAGAAGGACGCTAAGCAATGACTTAGAATGCTTAAACTGAAGAATTGCGTTCGACACATGCCAAAAAGCCAAATTTGCGATCGCATTTTTGGACATTTGCATTCGCATTTGTTGATCGAGGTTTTGCAAGGTCGAAAAAGTCATCATGAAGAAAAAACACTGATGAGTTAAAAACCTTTATGATCGAATAGATCTTTGAAACAGGTATATAAAGAATGTAAAGCAATACTCAATAATGGATTTGAATCTGTCGAATGATTGAACTTTCAATCCTCAGCAGAGCTCGATGAAGAACTTCCGCTGTAGAGGATTCTGGGGTTACAAAAAGATAACTTCTATAATTACACCGTAAAACCCTAATCAATCAGTTACGTAAAAGATGCATGCAAGCATCTATAAATATACAAACCCTAGAAAATAAGATACGGATGGACAGGCCCATACCGCACAAAGAATGGACTAGGAAGCGAGCCCAAGACGCAACACCAATAACCCAACAAACACAAAATATAAGATTGTATTTCTATATCTGCAATCATATTTATTTGACGCAACTCAAAATATGTCGAAAATAGCATCATACTTCATTAATCGACAATTCTAGAGAAAATCACCAAATCTGCGATCACATTTTGGTATCTATGATTGCATTTTCTATTAACTTGTTCTGGAAGGTTCTTGCTTGCATATAAATACGACCCTCCTGATCAGATTCGAGGGTTAGACAATTCCTGACGACAAAAAAAACCCTTCTTAAGGCAATTTTTGATACATTCCAGCACTTTCTGAAGATTTGAAGGCTGTGAATCATCTCTTACATTTAGTTTAGAAAGATTAATTAGTTAGTTTATATTTTTATTAGTTTAGATTTGTTTTTAGCCATGTCTGGCTAAAACCCTAGTTTTCAATTCTATAATAGACTAATACTTTTCATGTGATTAGTTATCAAATTTGGTTTTCATTGTGTGATTCTATCTAGTTGTTTTAGTTTTGAACTTAATGAACGTTTGATTTTTAACTCTTGTTATTATGATCAGCTAGTTAGGGTTTAATCATTGCACTTAATCAGTTAATAGAATCCGTAATTGTTCTTGTTAACTGGAAAAAAGTAAGAAGTATCATATTAGTTTCATGTTAGGGATTTAACTCTGATATAAATTGAAATTTCATACTTTTACGCTTCCGAGCTTGTGAGAAGTACTGGGTATTTCTGAGAATTTTACACAGATCTTAATGCAACTTTTCTGATCTTAATTAAGAGCTTGTTTAATAAGACAGTAAAAAGTTAGGATTAACTAAAGAGCTTGTTCTTGTTAATATAACTAGGTAAAAGAGATTATACTAGAGCTTGTTAGTTTTTCTTAGTACCGTCTTAGATAAAACGCATTCTGAATAACCAGATCTGGGCTGATTGCATGATTAAGAAAGTCGCAGTAGAACCGAATTCGTTTTTATTACTGGTTTCATTTAGTTATTTCACTGTAATTTTAGTTTAGTATTAATAAAAAAAACCCTTTTATTATTTTTTTGTTTTAATGACTAGTGTGTGCCTTATGCAAAAAGGCATTGACCATTAGGTTATGTCCCAAAGGATTCCACCCTGCTTCCCTGTGCTATCCTTTGGTGCAACCAACAATGATATTTTATTTGTTTAAATCGTATGCGACAACGGTTTAACAAATCGGCACCATTGTCGGGGACACGGTGCTACTAATAGTTTTATGCCAAGAACTTTTCGTATAGGTACACCTCTAGTTTTTGATCTTGAAAATGAGAAGTCTACAAGGAAACTGAAGAAAACATCAGCAAAGAAAAAACAATCAACTAGTTTATTTGGTTCATCATCCTCTTCAGGACTACCAAAAATCACCACACCACAAGGTAGTCCCTAGCAGAACAAACCAAATCCGACCTTCCCATTTTCCCACAAAGTACCCTAATCTTCACCTTCTAAAATCCCATATAAAACATACTCACCAACACCCTCAGTAAAATCTAAAACCCCAGAACCTTCAGAATCTAACTCCACAAAATTTGTCATGAGTTAAGTAGGAGACGAAGTAGAAAAGACTCTCAAAGAGTAGGCCACCTAAGAGGTCAATTAACAACCTCTTGGTATTACTTTTCTAGAAGCTTAGAATTTTGAGCTCAAATCTAGGCTAATACAGCTTCTCCCTACGTTCAGAGACTTGGAATGCGAAGACCCACATAAATTCTTAATGTGGTTTGTTCAAGAATGAAGCCACATGTGATAACTAAAGACAAGAAAAATCTAAGGGGATTCCCCTTCTTACTTTAAGATTTAACAAAAGAATGGTTGTATGAGCTTCCATTTGGATCGATCACCACTTCGACAGAACTCACATAATTATTTTTAGAGAAATATTTTCTAGAGATGTGAGTTTCGTGTCTCAGAAGAGAAATCCTTAGTATTAAACAAGGAAGAAGATAAGCCTTCCACACATATTGGTAGATATTTAAAAAGTTGCCGGTTCATTACCCCAATTGTGGAATCAGTGATTATGAGCTCTATAACGTTTTTATGAAGGTCTGACACCCATGGAGAGGCGCTTAAAAAATGCTTCAAATGGCATATCTCTAAGTGATATGACACCAACAACAATCCGAGAGCAAATCAAGAAGCTGGAGATAGACTGAAAGCATTCAGCAACTGAAGAAGAATGATATCCGGATCAGCCAAGAGGAGTAAAAGAAATCAACAATGCTTACCTTGAAACCTAGATTTCTGAACTCACGAAAGCAGTTGTAACGACCCGTCTCTGGTATGTTTTTTCCATGTTATTTATTTAGAAGTTTTCAAGAGGGACTCGACGAGTCTATAGCCCGACTCGTCGAGTAGAGACGGGATTTCGAGCACGTGTAAGTCGGCGACTCGACGAGTTCATATTCGGAACTCGGCGAGTCCGCCTGCCAGGAAGAAACCCTAAATCCCCGAGTTTGCTCACTATTTAAGCAATGTTTTGTGCCCCAACTCGCCTCCTTCACCCTCAGAGAGCTTGTGAGAAACCCTAAACCATTCCTTGTATGATTAAAGTGTTTTGTGTTGATTCTTGAAGGATTGAAGAAGAAGAAGAAGAAAGGACCAAAAAGAG